GCCTTTGATTTTGGGGGATTTGCTTACTTTGCTTAGCTTGATATAGTCTCCAACTCCATCTATTTACCTGCAAATAACATAATTTTATTCTCTTTTAATGCTGAGTAATACTCCATTGTGTGTGTGTGTGTGTGTGTGTGTGTGTGTGTGTCACAGTTTCTTTATCTATTTGTCTATTGGAGGGCATCTAGGATGGTTCCACAGGTTAGCTGTTGTGAATTGAGCTGCTATAAATATTGATGTGACTGTGTTACTATAGTATGCTAATTTTAAGTCTTTGGGGTATGAACCAAGGAGTGGGATAGCTGGGTAATGGTGGTTCCATTCCAGGTTGTCTAAGGAATCTCCATTCTGTTTTACAGATTGGTTGCACCAATTTGCAGTACCACCAGCAATGTATGAGTGTGTTTTTCCCCCCACATTGTTGCCAACATTTATTGTTGTTTGTATTCTTAATAACTTCCATTCTGACTGGCATGAGATAAAATAAAAACTACTCTGTTTTGATTTGCATTTCTCTAATTACTAGAGATGTTGAACTTTTTTCATATATTTGTTGATTGAACTCATATCTTCTTTTGAGAAGTGTCTGTTCAGCTCCTTAGCCCATTTATTGATTGGATTGTTTGGTTATATTTATCAAAATGGTGTTTAGATATCTCAGGTTCTTCATTTGCAATTGATTATTTATGAAAAGCACCCTCTAATTAAACAGTCAAAAGTACTTGATTTTTTAAAAAGGAAAGCCATTAGTAAAAATTTTTTAAAAACTTGAGTTTGAAAATATTCCTGAATGTAAATTTTTTTTCTAGTTTACAATTAGAAAAAGAGAATAATTATATGTATGTATTTACATGTGATTAAAATACAGATTCAGCTGTTTAAAACAACAATTATATTTTGGACCAACAATCTAGGCTCAAAACAAAGGAAAAAGAAATTTAAGTTTTGACTTCATTTTTTTTAAAAAAAGGCCTCAGGCTAAGTAATAAACAAATAGTTTAATTATCACAAGCACTTTGTTATTTTAAAGGATGGCAGTTTTAAATTTTGCTTATAGCACAAATCTCTGTTGCAAAACAGTAAAATTTACAGGCGGGAGATCGTTCAAACCAACTTTGTCCCCCAGTTCCTCACCCCTCTTTAATTTGTATAACATTGTAAATGTTCTTAATGCAACTGAGTTGTACACTTAACATTGGTTAAAATAGTAAATTATAGTTTATGAATATTTTACCATAAAAATTGGCAAATAGCATATAAATATTTTATCTTAAAAAGTGTGCTATATGTTTTCCTAACTTCTTCATTTATCATCTTGGGGGGGGAGGTAAACACTGTTTAGAAATCAACACCACAGATATTGCATGATCAATAAATCATGCCAAAACTGGCTTATTTATGTAGTATTGAACAACCACTTTGAAGTCTTAATGTAGCATTTTCAAACATTATGATATGGATATGCATGTATGCATTGAGCATTTATATCAGCCAATCTACAGTTAAAGCAGTTACTACATGCACACCTAGGCAGCATACATTGTGGAATAGTACACTGAATGAAACAGTAAATCAAAATTGGTTGTGCTGGTAGGCAGAGTGGTCTATGATACTGGCTTCAGATTCCTAACTAAAGATTTAAAGAACAGTGGCAGATTATGGCCTGTTGCATATTTGTGAGATCCCATCTGTCATAATTACTGTATCTTATTCATAATATATTTCATCACTGTCAATTGGAGCCATACTTTATCTAAAATGACTAGATAATATCACCACAACTGAGATCCTGGACTACCGCCAGTCTTCTGGCATTTCAGTGATCCTCCATGCAACCCAACACCACTGTGAACAGGATGTTGAAGCAGCTGTTGCAAGAGACTGAAAGGGGACATTTGCAACCATTGGGCAGAAGAAACACATAGCAAACTGTATAGAGCAAATTCAAGTAATAATACCTTAAGCAAAGCATAATCTTCCTGGTAAAGAGTTTACTTATATAAGCCAAGGTAGACTTGGAACTGTAATAATCATTTCCCAATAAAAATTTCTCCTTTGGTAAAATTTGAGAATGTGTTAATTTATTCATTTATATATTTATGTCAATCATCCATGTGGTATTCTAGTATATGTAATTTTTCAAGCCACTCTTGTGTCTAATTAAAGAAGAAAGAACTAGGACTGGGAATAGAAATGGGAAGTAAACCAAATAGTAGAGAAAGAATACTTCCTTTGGCAGTTGAGACTTGGAAAAGGTAAAACATGTTTAAAAGAAGAAAACTTAGTCCTCAGAAGAGGCTTGAATGAGCTGGATCACATATGAGAAAGCCAATGGAAATGAACTAGGAATATATAGACACAGAAGTAGGGAGAAAGGAACTGGTGTGTAGATGTCAGTGTCTGTACCTCATTAGATCAGAAGGAAATTAAGCATTTGGATGGAGAAATGTGGGAAAAATTCTTCTTAATGTGAGACAAAAAATTTATTAAACAATGGATGATACTTGCCCTTCTCCTCTTCCCTGGCTACTAAAATAAATTCTGACTTTATCTAGTCAATTTTTCCCCTTCTGCTGAATTCCAAAAAATTTCCTGTCTGGTTTGACTGATTTTTAGGGCTTTCTTGAGGCACTATTTAGAAGAAGGAATGTAGGCTGAGAGAACAATTTGAGTGCTAGTGTTTAAAAACGAAAAATTTCCTGGAATCTTGGAAGGAGAGGCACAGAAGTTACTATATAAGAGAAGCTGATGAGAGAGGGAAGAATAATTTTAAGAATTGTAGTAGATTATACGCCTTCTGCAAAAACTTAAAAAAAGCATTAGTTACTTGTTATAGTAGGCTGCATTACTGATCTGACCCTGGGCTTCATGGACTCTCAATCTGTAAACATTGCATTAGCTTGTGCATAATCCTCAACTTGATCCCACAGCTGTGCATGCATCTTGTTGAGACTGCAGTGAAGAGAGGAAGTCTAAATAGTGATTTAGGTGATAAATAAAAAATAAACATACAAAACAAGTTATTACTTGCTTTCATTATTTGTCCTCGACCTTGTCCTTAATGATAATAGTTTCTGTTCTGCTTTTATTACAAACATAAAAGAATAAAAGCTTTAATTGGTTAATTTCCGATTTCAGTATTCTGTTCTATTTTTCTCAACTATAAATTCCCCCTCACAGAAATCTTCTAAGATATGAACTTTACAGCCTAAGAGCTCCAAAACTTTTATTTTTCATTTATTTATGTTCCTCACCTCAAGCATACAGTTCCCTCCTTCCACATATAAATTTCAGATGCACAGATATCACCTTTCAAATAGACAATATACTGATATGCATGCATACATTCAAATCACACCATTCTTTGTTTCTCTCTTACACACACACACACACACACACACACACACTTACACACTTATTTACTGGTATGACTAAAGATGATAAATAATGCACATCCCTTTGTGAAGCCAGAGTTGACAACATTCCTTTAAACTATACAGTTTTAGCTATTATAAGAAGAATCTTGTGGTTTTAAATATAGTTAATAAGGCCTAAGTACTTGGCAAAATCCAAGTTCAATACTGCAGCAGCCTGAGCTGAATAAGTTTGATAAGAGGCCTAGCTACAGCTAAAGAGTCTTGCTTCCAATAGCTATATTTATGGCTACTTGGATCTCAAATATAAAAGATTCTTCATGCCATAAAATGCTACAGGAAACCACAACATTGAATTAACACTGGTCAAAACTGGCTGGAGAAGTAACCATTTGAGGCTGTACCTGATAATGTCCAGCACAGGGTTACTTGCAGGTCAGTTCTCCAATAGTAACAGCCTTCTTTTTAGCTGGGTGGTCTTACCAGAGGAAGTATAATCAGGACAAATCATTTGGATCTGCACCTTGTTCTATGACCCATGAATACAGTTCCAAAATGAAACTATAAAGGCCAGCTCTAGAATTTGACTTTTGTATTAGTCTCAAACCTAAAATGAATCTTCAAGTTTCCTTTGAGTTTGAGATAAAAGACATAAAGATTCCCCAAATTCTGTCTCTAATGTATTTTGTGAACACATAATTTGCTATGGAAACTTTTCTCTTCTTCCAATTCTCTTATGTAATTGGAACTTCCTGAGGATGGTAAGACCAACTGTTCTGTATGATGAAAAATACTAAAGACACCTGATAGCTCAAGGTTTTGCTCTTGTAAGAATGTGGAGAAGCTAACCAAGATGAATCCTTTATTCTCTAACAAGAGCCTTTCTTTACATTCAAATTCCTAATTCTCCCTGTGAAAACCCATAGTAATCATCAAAAAGTTTCCTTGACATGTGCACCACAAGTTCAGTTCAACTTTACTTATCAATATACTCTCAGAAGTCCAGGTTTTGTTTTGTTTTGTTTTGTATCACTCTGATTATAATTAAAAATGTCATTGAGGATGGTTTTCCACTTTCAGGATTAAGAATGTGTAGAGAGTTCTACTTCTTTTTTTCGGCCTTGGGAGGAGGCAGGGGGATGGCCTCTGTGTCTTGCTTGAGGGATCACTCCATGACCAGCTTTAGAAACTTCGAAAGATAGGTGCAGTGTGGCAAATAATTCCCTTCTTCCTTCTTGAGAGTGCACAGTTCAAATTCTCAGTGGCTATGGGTTCTCCCAGGAGCATTTTTCAGGTGGGAGACACCCCTCTCCAGCTGAACTACGTGTATAATCGCGTATAATCTCTCATCCTTTGGTCACTCCTACTGAGGGTATATCTGGATTTGCTCCTCAAAGCATCTTGGTCTTGCTGTCAGCCTTTCTATCTCCCTATTCTTCAGTATCCTAAATGTATGTGATATGTCTGGGAAGAAAAATAAATGCTACCAGGACATTTAATTATGACTTCTATGCCTCTGTCCATCAGGTAGCCATGCCACGCAGAAGTCCACCAGGATTTGTTAAAACAATTTTTTTTTCTGGCGTACATCAGTTTGTTTGTTTGTTTTGTTTGTTTTTACAGCTCTCAAGGCTTTAAAACCATGACATTCTGCTAAAATTGAGGAGGGCCTGAGTGGAAGGGCTAAATCCAAGGGGTGGTGGTTGCAGTATGGACATCCTTCCTCAGCTTCCTGTGTTGAAGAGCAGGCCTTCAGCCTTCAGCCTCTCACTACACTCCGCACTGACAGACTGAGACATTCTACAGACTCCAGCTGCTTGAGTGAGCCCTGAGTTCCTCAGGTCTAGTTGTCAGACATGACTGACATGAACCTTCTCTGTAGTTAATATGGTGTTGGTGAGCTTCTTGTTCATATGTACGATATTTTCCCTGTTGTTGAACTTAAAACAGTCTCCCACAGTACAGAACATATCTATATCAGATAACATTCCCAGCTGTCTCCTGAAGATCTAGTTCTTAATATTTTATGTATTATGGCCTTTTTTCTCCATTAAAAGATGGTTGCTAAGCAAAGATATCCATAGTAGGCTTAAAAAGTCCAAAACTAAAAATTAATTATATTTACAAATTTATTTTAGAGAAACTGAAAATCATAAAATAGCTCAATCTATGTAAAATTTTTCATTTTTTCATCCATGGTAGAATTTGGTATAATTTCCTTGGAATCAATTTGCTAATGGGAAAGCAAATTCATGATATTAACTTGATATACATTCATTTATGAGAAATTATGAAATTTTCTAATGTCACAATGGGAAATAAATAAAAATAGCTAAATCCATATACTAATGATTATTTAATTTAATTAACTTAACTTATTAATACATTTATTAAGAAGATGCTCATCAAAGGAATAGATCAATGCATACCTATGTATTATTTTTAATAATACCAGTATAAGAAGTTATTAAAGTATTTAAAGGGTGCTGTGGTGGAAAAATACATTATGTAGAATAAGATTTGATATTATCTGCTCTGTATTTTTATGGATTGAGGCCCTAGTTGGACATGGATCGTATATTAAGTTTAGGACAGAGAGAAAGGGGTCAAAAATTCCAAAAATCTAATGAATGTTTGCTCTTGGTGGCTCATTCTTTCTTATCTCTTCTTTCTAAAATAATGCCTGTTTTTTCCAGACTTATTTTTCATGTATCTAATAGCAATTATTTCTATTTTATACCAGTTTATCCTGAAACATTTAAATTTTTACGTCATTGGAATTATGCATGCTTAGTTTGAGTTTTAGTTAATTCCCATACTTAGAACATGATACAACTTTTGGTCTTTCCAATTTGAAAATTATTATTTAATCTAACTATTGAGTAAAAGTAGGGGGCCTTCTTTTTTGCTACTTCTGGCAAAAGAAAAGATTTATTCCCCAAAACACGAAATAAAGAAAACTGAGCAAATGCTAAAACAGCTGCCAAGCCATCCATTCAACTTTCTGCTTATGCCATAGAAAGCACGCTTTTTTAAGAGGCAGCATATGGGTCTTATATCATATTTATGTAGGCATTTGTGAATTAAATGCCATTTCTACCCCAAACTATAGTTATATCTTGTACCTTTAGGAAATCCATAAAAATTAATGCATCAGGTTTTGATAAAGTTGAGATATATATATATATATATATATATAATCATTTAATCACAATATATTTTGCAGTTATTAGAGTAAATTTTCATTTTGTTGTTGGTAGTGTGTGTGTATGTGTGTGTGTGTGTGTGTGTATGTTTTAATGAGGTGTAACTTACACACAGTATAAAAACAGTTGGCACTTGGACAATGTAGGAGTTAGGGTGCTGACCTCCACAAATGTCAAAAATTGTGTATAACTTTGACTTCTCAAACACTTAACTAATTGTCTTTTGTTGACCAGAATCTTACTTATAAAGTAAAATGTCAGTTAACATGTGCCTTTTATGTGACATATATAACATGGTGAAAAACACACAAGAACTGGCAGAGGTAACTTTTTATTGCCATACCAGGTTTATTGGAGAAGGACTCACATGGAGATGGTTAGTGTCACATGACATTTTAACTGGATACTTGCAACATTTAGACTCTGCAATAGCAACAGGAGCTGACTATGAAATTATTACAGTAGTAGTTAATTTTATGCAGTTTTGGATTTAATGCTGCATCTTTATGATTATTCAATTTCTCTTGATTGTAAATAATAACATATATGGTCTGCAAGTGTTTGTGTTAAGTTCTGATAAATTTTAACTTTTATAAATGGATTTATGTATAGTCTATGGTAGTAAATGATGAAATAGACTATTATCAATATCTATATTATGTACCCATGGTCTAACTTTTATATATATTTATTTCTAGGCTATAAATTCCAGTTTTTTCAAATCATCACAAATCAAAAAAGAAAAAAATTCAGTGTATAGTGAAATTCAGTGCAGATGGACCTGCACAGTTCAAACCTGTACTGTTCAGGGTCAACTGTAATTCTTTTTGAGCTTTGAAAAATGCTTCACAATCAAGATATAGAACAGTTTCATGGTTCTCCCAAGTTCATTTATGCCCCTCTTGTCATTATATCTGCTCTCCCATATCCAGTCCCTGATTAGTTTTTTCTCCCTATGTTTGCCATTTTCAGAATGTCATATAAGCAGAATTGGATGCTATATAACTTTTTTGTCCAAATTAGTTTACTTATCATAATGCATTTGAGATCTTTTCATGTGGAGCAGGAGAGTATTTCTTTTAATAACAATTATTTTATCAATGAATATTAAAATTTATTAATCCATTCTTCACCAAAGTTCATGAAGTTTATTTCTAATTTTTAGAAATTATACATAAAATTTCTATAAAAATTTAGAAGATATTTTTTGTGATAGTTTCACTTAGTGAGGGGCATTCCTAGAAGTGGGACAGTTGGGCTGTAATGTTGAAAATATGAACTTTATAAAAAAATCTTTCAATGTGTTTCCCAAGGGAGTTGTATCATTTTATTTCCTCTAGCACATGAACATTTCAATATCTCCAACATATGGCCAATGCTTAATACTGTTTAAAATGTTTTAGACATTCTAATGAGATCACAGTGAATCTTATTGTGAGTTTAACTGGCATTTTCCTAATGATTAATGATGTTGGGCATCATTGCATAAGCTTATTTGTCATCTATATTTATTTTGGTAAAGTATGCATCAAAGTCTGTATATTTAATGTTGATGATGCAGCTTTGTGATAGTGTGTTTGCCTAGCACAAGCAAAGTCCAAGTTTTATATCAAGTACTGCAAACAACACAAAACAGAACTTTGTCTATTTCACAAAAGCTATTTGACACAATTTGGTTGTGATATATGAGCACTTATTTATATTGTTGAATATCAATTGAAAAACTTGAATCCAATTCATGAAGAGTAGTGGTTTTTAGTTTACTTTGTCATGATGGTTTCATTTGGATTTAGTGTTATGATAATGCTAAGCTCATAAAATAAATTGGAAGATTACTTTCCTATCACTTTCTGAAAGAGCTGGCCTAGAATTGTTTTGTTTTGTTTTGCTTTTCTTCAAATGTGATTTTAGCATTCTCCAGTGATCTACTTGGGCCTGTATTTTTTTTTTTTTTGCTGGAAGGTATTTAACAGCAAATTCAATTTATTTTATATATTAAGGGAATCTATTTCTTCTTCCTTGAACTTGGAAAGTTCTTTCTGAGAACTTATATACTTCATCTAAATTGTGTTTATAAGATCCTTGTTTGTTTTCTTTTTAATTTTATTTGTTTATTTGTTTGGCTGGTTTTGTTACCAGGATTGAACACAGGAGCACTGAGACACTGAACCATAACCATATCCCAGCCCTTTTTGTATTTTATTTAGAGACAGGGTCTCAATGAGTTGCTTAGTGCCTCATTTTTGCTAAGGCTGGCTTTAAACTCATGATCTTCCTATCTCAGCTCCTGAGCTGCTGGAATTACAGGCATGTGCCAACGTAGATTTTTTTTTAATAGTTATTTTTTTTTCTATTTTTAGAGAGAGAGAGAGAGAGAGAGAGAGAGAGAGAGAGAATTTTTTAATATTTATTTTTTAGTTTTCGGCGGACACAATATCTTTGTTTGTATGTGGTGCTGAGGATCGAACCCGGGCCGCACGCATGCCAGGCGAGCGGGCTACTGCTTGAGCCACATCCCCAGCCCTTAATATTTCTTTATAATATATTTAGTGCCTCCTTTTTTTTTGACATCAGTAAATCATGCCCTTTTTTGCAGTGGAGGGGTCAGTCCCACTATCAGTTTTCAGTACTTTTGATCTTTGAAAAATAGTCTTGGTTATCTTGATTTCTTTTCAATATTTTTGTTTTGTTTTCATTTTTATATGTCTCTACTTATTTATGTTGTTTGATCACTTACTTTGGGTTTAATTTGGCCTATTTTTAATGGTTTTGTAGTTAAAAAAAACTTAATCCTAGATTTGGAGCTCAGATACTAGCTTTGAGACTTTTCTTTCATAATTATGACTATTCTTTCAAATATATGCATAGCATATATTTCCCAATCTTTGATGATGATCTCATTTATATATTCAACCATTAAGTAGGTTTTGTAAAAAGTCATTTAGATGTATACCATTTTTATCTAATCCATAGTCAGTATTTGCTTTTTACTGTGTTCATATGCCATTCCATTTAAGGAAGTAAATAAGATAGTTGAAATTTACCATAGTTATTTCTTCTGTTGGTCTCCTCTGTTTTAGAGCCTCTTGTCCATTTTTTTCCTTCTTTCTGTTGGATTATTTTAATATTATTTGATTGTTTGCTTTAATTTAGACAATGGATTTTAAACATACCTATTTGCATTTATTTATAATTTATTCATTGCTGTAGGAATTACAATGTACATTATTCCATTCTGCAATATAATTGGGGATCAATATTATCCTACTTGAAATAAATGCAAAAACTTTGCAAATGTATAAGACTTGTTAAAACCGCTTCAGACCTTCATGTTGTAGCTGAATACCCCATCAAGCAATGTTATGTTTTTTGTTTTCAAAGTTTATACATAAATAATTTAAGTGGAAAAAAAAGCTTTTTGTTGTTATTTGTTTAGCATTTCTCTTATTCTTCCTTAATTCCCAAATATCCAAGCTTCTTCTGGTATAATTTCCCTTCAACTAGAAAAAACCTTCATTTATCATTCCTTCTGTATAGGTTTACTATAGCTAATTCTGTTTCCTTGCATATGAATATTTCTGTATGTACCTCCTGAAAGATACTTTCTTGGCTTAAGAATTTGGAGCTGACAATCCTTTCCTTTCAGGATCTGAAAGATTTTTTTTTTCATTGTTCTCTGGCTTCCTTAGTTTCTGCTGAGAAATTAATTAATTAATTTTTACTCCTCTGAATGAAGAAGGCAGAAATAAAAGTGGGAAAACTCACCCCCACCACCCAGTTTGCATTGCACCATCAGGCTTTGCCTCCTCTCCACAGTCTGCCTGCTTTTCCTAACTTCACACAGTCCTCAGTGTTTTGTTAGAGTTGTTAGTTCTCATCAGGAGGGGTTAATTATACTTTAATTCGGAGGAGAACATAATTCATGCACCCATTATGGAAATGGACTTGTATAAAGCACTTTACAATAGGACTTACTTTATCCTTACCACTATTCTTGAACTTCCATTTGCAGTGAGGATGAAATCACAAGAATGAAAATAGAATAATTAGCTCCAGTCAATGCATTATAGTATAGGTCTTTTGGAGCTATGTTCCTGACAAAGCAATATGTTACCTACGATGAGGATAAAAGTAG